AACCCCCCTCAGTACAACCCTGCTTACCCGCCCCACAATCCTGCCAACCCACCATTACAGAATCCTGCCTACCCACCACATAATCCAGCCAATGCCCCCCAAAATCCTGCTTATCCCCCTCAACCCAATCCTGCTTACCCTGGACAAAACCCTGGTTATCCCCCTCGCAATCCTGGCTACCCACAGAATCCTATTTATCCACAAAACCCTGGCTTTCAACCCCACAACCCTGCTTACCCACACAACCCTAATGGAGGCCAGTACAAGGTTAAGCCATGGCAACCTAAGCCACCGAAGACCAAGATGAAGCATATCGTAGGTGCAGCTGTCGGAGGTGCTGCCGTAGGTGCTCTTGGTGGCTTCCTTTTAGGCCGCACCATGTCGAATATGAATTTCCATTTTAACAACCGTGATGAGGAAAGGTGGTGGTATGAGAACCGTGACCGTTATTCTAACCGAGTGTACTACCCCAAGTATGAGCAGCCTGTCCCAGAGGATGTCTTTGTGAAGGACTGTTGGAACATCACCGTGAGAGAATTCATCACGCCCACTGGGAACGAAACAGCCGATGAAATGGAAACCAGGGTCGTGACACGAGTCGTTCAGGAAATGTGTATCGAGCAATACCGGAGCTTCTCCAGGCAAGCAGATGGAGGCACCGTTGGTCATGGTGACCATCGTCCCCAAGAGCGTGACCCATCCAAACCTTTGATGAAGTTTGTGGAAGGAGAAGCTATCACAGACATCGCAGTGGAAGAGGCCAGGGGCTATCTCTTCGGCAGTGCCATGTCAACGGTGCATTTTCATTTTAATGACAGCGGTGAGCAACAGTGGTGGGAGGAAAACCGCGGCCGTTTTGCCAGCCACATTTTCCACCCAAACTACAGCCAACCTGTTCCCAAGGATGTTTTTGTAAGCGACTGTGTGAATGACACAACGGGAGCATACGTAAAATCTAGCGGAAACCAAACGGCCAACGAGACTGAGGTGGAAACCAGAGTCGTGACACGTGTGGTACCTGAAATTTGCAGAGAGCTTTACTGTGGCTACTTGAGGAATGAAGGAGGAGGCAGCTTTGCTGACAGCTGTGAAAGCAGACCCCCAGAGCCTACAGTGCCAGTGAAGCTTGCCATTAAATACATGGAAGGAGTGGGAGCAGCCTTTGAAGGCATGGTCACCAAAGCCAGTGGTGATGGCGTGCACAACAGCGCAGTGTCTAATACGTATATTCATCTTAATGAGGTGTTCCTTCTTGGCAAATCTTCCACACTTTTGATCGTCCTGTTGTCCACATTTTTGCTGTTACCCTGAGGCTGGACTTTGTAAGCCTCCACTTTGCTGTTGATCCAGCAGTCATCCAGAAGAAGAAGAGATTTATATACAGTACACCAATAGTTTTGTGGACGGTATGTTCTGGATCTCTTCAGTGATGTCTAAAGGAGCCAGCTACATGTGCTAAGAATGGATCAGCTTAGGCTGCCATACCCCTTATCTCCTTTAGAACCATCACTGATGCTACTGTTCCAAGATAGTTTGCCAGGAAAGGAGCTGAGTGCTTAGATGGTCATGAATGGTTTCCACCCACCTGCAATGAAAGGTTGTCGTTCTTCATAACTGCTTAAGCCTAATGAATAGAACCTTATAAGTCATACTAGAAATACTGGGAAATATATCCTTTGTTAGTCTGTTTGTGGAGTCGCAATCTTCTATAGAACATTACTAGCTTTAAGGGCAAGGCTTACTATGCAGTGTGCTATGGGAGCAATTGGACAGCTGCAAAGGCATTCACTTGATTGCACTAGAAAGGGTCACTTTAAGAGGAGTGGGTTCCCTTAAAGCAATCCTTCTGTTTGCCAGGGATCCATTCCAGCCCAGCCTTCAAAAGTAAAAGCCTTGCAGCTGGACCAAAAAGTTCCAGCTTAGACGCAGACCAAGGTCAGGTTGGAATGCACTTCTCTGTGCATCCTGTGATTGCCGGGAAACAAGTTACACCAGACTGCTCCACAAGTGGTCAAAATGGCAGTCTATCTCCCTGTGTGATCACACCATTGCATTATACAAACAGCTGCTTTTCAGAGAAAGGAAGGGTTGCCGGACGTATCTAGCCCAGCTAAGAGTGCTGTGTGATGCCAAGGCAGAGAAACAAAGCAGAAATCTCGTGTACTTCTTTCTATCCAAAACTCTGCCCAGCGCAACATCTCTGCACCCATCTTTGTAGCTGTGCATGCAGCTAGTTCTGTTTTGGTAGCATATGAAAATGTGGAAGTTCTATTTTGGGAAGTACAGGGAGAACACATTTTATGTTATAAGTTGCCTTAGGAGAATGCTTTATTCATGGGGGGTGGGGAGGGGAATCAGAACATTCAGCAAAAAGAGAAGAGGAAGAATAAGCTGCATCTTATACAACACAGTGTGTGATGACTCTTTGATATTCTTTTATTTTTTTTTTGGTGAAGCTTTAGAGGGAAAATCATAGTAGCCTGATGCAACAAAGCAAAAACATTTCACACTTGGTGGGATGGGGGAAGGGATGAGATGAGGCAACGGGCCATGTCCAGTGTGTGATGACTCTTTGATATTCTTTTTTTGGTGAAGCTTTAGAGGGAAGATCACAGTAGCCTGATGCAACTAGGCAAAAACAATTCTAACTTGGTGGGATGGGGGATGGGATGAGATGAGGCAATGGGCTATGTTTTGTCACATTTCCTTTGGCATGACATAGCATCAGCTGCCTCTTGCGTGTTCCCTGTCTGATGATATTCAAAATAGAGAATCATAATAGCCAAATGCAACTACTATCATTCCTATTTTGAGATGAGATAGGGCACCGGATGATATCTGTCCATACAAAATTATGCCACACTTTCATGCCTTCAGAAATGTGGCTACAATGTGGAGAACACTGTGGGTCACGTGCAGCTGGCTGCCATGACACTCATAGTGATTGCATGCAGTGACACAGGGCACAGGAGCCATCCAAATCCTTATGGAAATGGACAGTATGGACACCAAATGATTGATGGACAGATAGACAGACTAATGTGATCTATGGTAGCCTTAAATTTTCATAGGCTTTTGCCAATGTTGGCTCACAAACCCAGTAGTTGCCTGTATGACTTACTGTTTGTCCTTAAATGTCACACAATGCTTTCTCTCTTACAGAGCAATGTCAAAGTCAGTTATGCGCTGAGGGAGGAAATCAGGGTGAACAGTTCTCCTTAATCAACATAATGGTGTCAGTCTGCGAGGTACATTGAGAAATCCGCATCTATGTCCTTATTCAGGGAGAAGTTAAAGAGCTACTTTTATGTGCTTGGCTAGTCCTCAAAAATATAAAAATGTAAGAAGACGCATGTTGAACCAGGTCAAAGGCCTGTCTCGTCTAACATTCTGTTACACAACTGCCTATAGAAACCCCGGAAGCAGGATATGAACACAATCACAACCTTTTTTGAGCCATGACCCCCTTTATAACAGCCAAGTAACTTGTGACCCCCACACTGATATTGGTACATACTTAATCTGTATAGTCACTATTAACTGCCTCAGCTGCCATGGATTTGGCAATTCTTTTTAAAAGCCATGCATGTTACTGGCCACCACTGAACTTGATCCTCTGATGTAGACATCTCTCTCTCTCTTTCCTGGGTCTAAACCTATTGTCTTGTTTTTAAAACCACTTTTGTCGATAATTCCAAGAAGCTAGCTGGAGGGACAGCAAGAGAAAAAAAGCACTTATAAGAAGGATAGCTTGTTTTCTTTATTATAAGATGAAGCACTAAAAGAATGCTAACGGGATGAGTGCCTCTGTTTGGTGTGCCTTCCATGCCTTATGCCATACACTGTAAACAGTAAATTTTGGGGTAGCTAGAAGTAATTTTTTAATGTGTGTTGAAAAGTTGTTTTCTCTGATCAGTTCTAGTACTCAAAACAAATTTGTAGGCACATATATTTTTTTAAAAACGTTGAAGCTCTGTTCTGGGCACTCAGACTGTAGGTCAATCCAGTGATCCCCTATAAGTAACATAAATAGAAGAGTAGTTAGAAACCTGGAAGCAAAACCAGATAGGAAGGAAAATCCCACCCTTGAACAGATATTTCAAGTTAATTTCACTCCACATTCATGAAAAGAACATAAATATAAATGGATGCACATTTTTAAAGAGTACTGTATCTTCTTTCCCGCTTGGAACTGCCTGATGCATGTCCCATGAAGTGCCTAATGATTATGCTGTCAGTGTTTGCTTTCTGTGATGTTGGTATTTGTCACAATATGCCCCCCCCCCCCGATTATGGTTCCGGACTTGGGGAAGGGGAGGGAACTAAGGCTGTGTTTGAATTTGGTGTACTCAAATCGGCGTGCTGCATTAGAGTTGCAGGATCTGATCCCCTGCTGGTTTTCTAAGGCTCCTGTTGGAGTGGGGAATAGATAACCACACCCCTATGGCTAGAAGATTAAGGTTTTTGCTTTTGTGGAAATCCAACATGGAAGCAGGAACCTTTCCTCTTGAGTCTCAGTGCTGATGGTAGAAAAAAGATGAAAACAGTGGGAGTTGGGTGAGGGACCTCCTCTGAACATGTTTGCAATATATGATTGAAGTGTGTTAGTTTCTTATTTGTTCTGGCTGTTGGATTTGCTTTCCCCAGAAATTATCCATCATTATTCCATAAAAGTCCCAAATAAAGCTGTATCCTGCTTAACATTTGAGCCATATTTGTCTTTCTTACTTTCAAATACTGATGGGGAAGTTACATTATGATGTTATAGGACTGGAGCTACTCATCATCCTTAATCAGAATGGTGAAAGATGATGGGAAACTGCAGTTCAACATCTCAAAAGATACAGGTTGACCACACCTACTTTTGGTTCTGTCCTACAAAATTAGTCAAGGATTGAAATTTTAGCAAAAATTCCAGATTTTTGAGACTGAAACATTTTTTCCTTGGGTTTAAGGTACCTCTCTTCCGCTTTGTAAATATAGTTTTAGTGTTCATGAGGAGACACCTCCTAAATCATCTTTTTTTGGTTATGTTAGAGAAAGGATGTGAAAAAGTGAGAGTCAAGTTAAGAGAACGCTTGATCTCATGATAGCTGGTGTGTGTGTGAAGCATTCATTCTTAACAGATTAATAATATTAAATTCTCCAACACCCCCCACCCTCCACTTGGAATGATAATCTTTGATTGGCTGGGAATTTAATTAACTAAAAGGCTTTCACTTTAATAAGTCGTCTTAAGGGCTTTGCATGGTGTTTATTCAGATTCCATATTCTTGGGAAATTGCAGCTTTCCATATTCTAAGCAATGTGTTCTTCAGACAACAGCTGAAATCCTGTTGTTTAATATAGGAAGTCGCAACCAGAGGAGGCCCATTCAGTCCATGGAATTACAGAAAAGGTGACTCACTAAATTCCCAGTGATTCAGTGGGCCTACTCTCATCATGAGCTATTGCACTAAATACCAGGATTCCAGCCAATATATGCAAGAAACAGTATCCTGTGAATGAAAATATTCCTTGTTTAGAGACTACAGTTCCCTGAACAATTCAGCCAGAATGGCCAGTGCTGGAAAAGTAGCTTGGGAAAAGCAGCCTTGAAAGCTGGCAAGTCATGGACCTGAGTCCCATATTTGCTTGATTGCTGAGTTAGGTAGTCTGTGTGAGTACAAATATAATGCAACTAATTCTAGCAAAAGTTCTTTCCTGGGAAAAGAGGAGGAATAGTTGCCGAATGCCTTTTGACTGGTACTGCCAGTTTAACATCCTAAAAAGAGGGAGCTAGAAGAACTACTGGATCGTTCAGTGGTTTAGGTACCTGCCTTTGGAGCCAGAGGTAGGGAATTTGATTCCCCCCCACCCCCCATGCCTCCATGACAGGGGCTGGACTCTTCCCTGAAGAAAGAGAGCTGTTGGTTGCTCCAAAGAGATTTTCTTTTGCCCGAGGGAACCCAGAAGGGAAACATTGCAGTCCATCTTGTCTGTTTCCTCCTGCTTCTTGGTTCCATCTGTGAACTTTAAGCAAAGGAATATTTTCTGCAACCAAACAGGGCTTTCCTACTGAGACAACAGCATGGATAGTTCTGATGGTTCAAGAAACACACATCGTTTCTCACACATTTTGCCACCTCCTTCCATTGCTTTTCATGCCCCACGCCATAGAAATACCTCTTTTCCGAAACGCATTCAGTTTTACTTTTTTCGACTTTTGCTTTCTGTGCCTTATAGTGCGAGTGGATAACTTGTGAGCTTCCAGATGTTGCCGATTTTTCTCTTTCATTTTGTGTTTCTGTGAAGGGGTTGCCAGTAGTGCCCCAGGTGGGCCACTTGCCTTCACTCACAACTCCTCCGAAATATGGGTGGAAAAGCCATTCTGGGCTCTTGAGAAGAGTGGGAGGAAAGCGGCATAGGGTGATAAGAAGCACCTGGTAGGATGAAGGCAGAGCCTGTTGACCAAGGTTTAAGAAGTGCAAGGAGGTAAGGTAGGCTTGGGATCTTGTTCATGAGGAGACACCTCCTAAATCATCTTTTTTTGGTTATGTTAGAGAAAGGATGTGAAAAAGTGAGAGTCAAGTTAAGAGAACGCTTGATCTCATGATAGCTGGTGTGTGTGTGAAGCATTCATTCTTAACAGATTAATAATATTAAATTCTCCAACACCCCCCACCCTCCACTTGGAATGATAATCTTTG